ACCTTTGCCTTCTTTTACCACAGTTGTTATATTTCTATTTGCAGGCATTTGTATTTTATTATTTTCTCTAGTTCCCACCCTTTGGACTCTTCCTCCCAGCAATTTGCCTCCTTGCAGCAAACAACAAACAGCCTGTTTCAGTTTCAGCACAGCCTGATTAACACAAGCAGCTTATAGTTGGTTGGATCAGCCTCCTGACAATCAGCTGTTTCAGGCTGCATGGATTGCCATTGCCTATTGCTGCCTCCATGGGCCCATTTTTGGCCTCTGCATCCTGTTTTCAGCCTCAGTATTCTCCGTTTTCAGCCTCTGCATGTCCCATTTTCCATCCATTCTGATCCCACTGCCTGGAATAGGCTGAAAATAGGGCATACGGAGGCTGAAAATGAGGAGTGCAGAGGCTGAAAACAGGATGCAGTGGCCAAAAAGGTGGTGCATGGAGATGGCAATAGGCTATGGCAATCTCTGCAGCCTGAAACAGCTGATCATCGGGAGGCTGATCCAACCAACAATCAGCTACTTGTGTTAATCAGGCTGTGCTGAAGCAAAACAGGCTGTTTGCTTCAAGGAGGCAAATTGCTGGGAGGCATAGGCATTTTTTTTTCTTGTTTTCCTCCCCAAAAGTTAGGTGTGTCTTATACTTCAGAGTGTCTTATACTCCGAAAAATATGGTAGTCTGTGAAATCTTCTTGCAGCAGCTAACCAAGTGATCCACTTTTTATTCAGTTTATAGTATAATTATTATCATTAATCTTAGGATGCAACAACAAAGGAATAATGTCAAAGTTACATGAGATATTTCTATGCTTTACACTGCTTTAGCAAGACCACATTTTGAATACTGCATCCAGTTTTAGTTACCACAATACAAAAAAGATTGTGAGACTCAAGAAACAGTACAGAGAAGAGCAATAAAGATGAATAGCAGGCTGGAGACTAAAACATATGATGAACAATAATAGATACTGGGTATGTCTAGTCTAACAAAGAGAAGGACTAGGAGTGACATGACAGCAGGGTTCCAATATTTGAGGGGCTGTCACAAAGAAGAAGGGAATCAACCTATTCTCCAAACCATTTGAGAGCAGGACAAGAAGTAACAAATTGAAACTAATTAAGAAGAGATCCAATCTAGACTTAAGAAAAATAATCGTGAGAATGAGAACAATCAGTGAAACAGCTTGCATTCAGAAGTTGTGGGTGCTCCATCACTGGAGGTTTTTAAAAAGAGATCAGACAGCCATTTGTTCAAACTGATATACATTATCCTGAAGAGAATTGGACTAGAAGACCTCCAATGTACTTTCAACTGTTATTTTTTTCCTGTTATTTTAAAAATCCTGTCCTAATAATTTGCCCCATTTGGTTATTTGAAGGGCCTTTCCCTTTTCAGGCTCTCTGAAGTTTCTGAAGAATGGAATCATCTATGCCAGGGCTGTCAAACTCATGGTCCATGGGCCGGATACATCACACATTGGCCACACTCAGTTTAGTGAAGTGGAAAAAAGTCATGATATGTCACATGACAATGCCATGATGATTCAAGTTTGACACCCCTGATCTATGCCATTGACCTCTATTGAAAGTCAAAAGGGTGAAGGAGAGGAGTTAAGCCAAGCTATGCCACAGAACAGGAAATGAAGTAACTCTTCTCAATGTATTTTTTAACCAATTTTAGTCTCCCAGAGTTCGTGCCCTTATTATTGACTGCTGTATGTCCTAGTCTCTCTCTGTTTCTCTTTCTCTGTGTCTCTTTGTGTCTCTATTTCTGTCTGTCCCTAAGCCCTCTCCCACCACCTGAGATATCCTATGCTCCACTTTCACTCTTCAAGGTCCCCATAATCTTTGGGCTTGCTTCTTCCCCTAGTCCCCACAGGCCTGTCTTTATCGCTGCATTTCACAGGCCTTTTTCACCTCAGGTCCTGCAGGCCTATGTCTATGGAGATCCTCTCTCTACCGGGAGGGCTTGCAGGACTTGGCTTCTCGTTTCCCATTGTCCATCATGCAGTTACATTTTGAAGATTTGCAGAACTCCAGATCTCACATTGAAAAGGAGTGCAACTCACTGTGTTTCTCAGCATTCCTGAAACACATGACTATGTTGCGGAAGCAGCCACCTTTCAGTGACATAACCAGTTATTCTGAATTATTATTAGAGATTGTATGCCATTATTTTCATATATATTTCAGGTTATCATCCAAACCAAGCATTCCTGCCTCTGATTTTCCCCACAACAAAAGCTCCCATTGCCCTCCAGGTGGCTTTCACACCCAAGGAGGCCTAGAATTCATAGTCTCCTGATTTCTAGCACAACACTTTCACTACTATTAAAAATTGGCTCTTAATTCAGAGACAAGCTCTCAGTGATAAGCCTATTCAATCTTAAAAGAAAGTTTGCTTTCTACTTACAATAACAATTATATAAATATCCAATGAAAATAATATTCATTCCACAAACATGTACACATGTAGGAATCTATAATACAGTATTCATGAGGTATTTCTATTAAGCAACATATTAATAATTTGACCAGGATTGTAATCCTGCTCCATAACTGGTATTGATCTCAGGTAATATCGGTTTAATAAAATTTAAATAAGGGAATCCTGTTAAACTTTCAAAATTCTTTTGCTTTAATGTACAATACTAACACAAAATTGCAATAATATTTTTTCTGGACTGATTTTTTTGCAGGGATGACAATATGTGCTTTTCTTTTCAATCATTCTGCCCTTTTAAGGAGCCTTCCCCGCTGTTGGATAAGAGAGAAGAAAAACTTCTGTTTCAGAGATAATGAAGGCTGAATGATTTTTATCCAATGGATTTTAAAATGTTTTAAGTTGTTATTGTGTCTGTGCTTCTGTGAGTCTGAGTACCTGTATAGCTATGGGTTTTGTATGCAAGGAATAACATAAAGCAGTTCATAAGTTCATATTTACATTATTCTTAATAGGTTCACAATGGAAGTGAGGTGGAAACCATCAACTGAATTCTTCCTGCTGGTAGGAGAGTTAGAAGCTCCTATAGTCTCTTAAACTTAGGACAAGATCAGTATTTTTTAAAAAAGAGACAGAAGAAGAGATGGCTAATTGAGACATTAAAATATACTAAATATTATGAGATAATGGTAGGTCAGAAGATATAAAGGAGATAAACTTTCTTTATTACATTGGGAATTGAGATTCCCATCAGAGAGATTCCTTAAAATGGAACAGAAAACAGAGATGACTTAATTTCTCTCTACAAAGCAAAACATTCTACAATAGAGCATTTATATTTTAAAAGACTGGCAAAGCTTTCTTCTTAAAGAATTCAGAGGTAAGTGGAGCTCTCTTTCATTCATTCCACCTATTAAAACATTGCCAAATAACTTTTCTGGATTTAAATTCAGGTAAATCCAAAGGAGATGGGCTGTTAAGAAATATGAAATATAAATAAGGTAATGGTTTCTGACTCTAGGGTGTGGTGCTCATCTCTTTCTTTCTTATTACTTGAATAAGTATATTAAAATTCAAAAATATCACAATAATAAATTTGATAAAATGGACTAATTATTATCTGTACACTGAAAACTATATTCACCTGTCTAACAGTCATCATATTAAATTCAATGAGCTTAACAGGTGGGCAAGCTTTTGGAAAATATATTGACATCTAAAAGGTAGGAGTATTTGTAACTCTATGATATATATATAAAAAAAGATCAGCTCACAATTCTATAGCAGTTAACTTGAATTAAGTACCACTGATGCCAGCAAATTGTAAGTAAGTAAGTAAGTAAGTAAGTAAGTAAGTAAGTAAGTAAGTAAGGTAAGTAAAGAAAGAAGCAAACAGGCAGGCAGGCAGGCAGGCAGGCAGGCAGGCAGGCAGGAAGGAAGGAAGGAAGGAAGGAAGGAAGGAAGGAAGGAAGGAAGGAAGGAAGGAAGGAAGGACGGAAGGAAGGAAGGAAGGAAGGAAATTATTTATTGGATTTAGTGAATTACTAGAAAATATTCTTTGAAAGAATAATTTCTTCCTGTTAATTTTACCCCTTTCTGTAAGATTAGGCTTTGTCTACAATTTTAGGTAAAGAGGAATTTAGCAGAATGATTTATTTTTCTTTATAAAAATTAACATATGCTGGGTGAATAGCCATGCATCATTCTGTTCCAAATAATACAATTCATTACTTTTGAAGTAAGCAACTTATAGTTGACAGTTGAATTTATATTTAATTTTAATTTCAGGTAAGTACTAAATAGGTATTAATAATGAGAGATAGTAAAATGCCACTATACATTTCCTTCCATTGATAAATTTTATAATCTGTATTAATCAGTTTTTGCCTATAGTGTTGCACAATAAGCAACCAATTCACCTTTCTGATGGGATGTCCTTATTAATAAGAACATTCAAATTATGCATTTTGTCATTTATTCTTCAGTTGCTTAAAAATCCTAATTATACACGTATTTTTTCCCATCTTAGTATACTGAAACTGATATCAAATAATCCATTTTAAAATATTTTAATGCAGTTTTAAAAAATAGATTATTTTGAATACACATGTTTTTCTCTGTAATTCCTTCAAGGCATTATTGCTTTTTATCCATATCCTGATATTTTATTTTAATCAATTTAAAATAATTTTATGGAATGGACCATTTCATACCTTATGCATAAGCTTCAACCATTTCCACTCAACCTATTACTGCTTTCCATCTGACATATTTATATTGTATAATATATTTTATTTATTTTAGAATTTTTAATGACAAGCTGAGAATTTCTGCAAAATTTTATATTAACTATTACTTGTATTATGCAAAAAACAGTTTTCATGTATATGAAATGAGTAAGCATGTTTGATGTATCCATTGAATTTTTAAAATAAATCATTTTGACAATAATTTTAACTATATTCTGACAGTAAATAAATAATAGTAATCTGTATTGAAAACTCATTTTTCCTTAATTTGTTTCCTGTACTAACTTTTTTTTAATCTGTTTTGGTCCAGAATGATTGAAAGAGTCAGAACAGGCAACCAATCTTCCGTGAGAGAATTCCTTCTAATGGGATTTTCTGATGATCATGTTACTCAATATTTGCATTTTGTCATGTTTCTCTTCATTTATTTAGCAGCCCTGGCTGGGAATTTACTCATAATTATTGTTGTGATTCTAAACCATCAGCTTCATACCCCCATGTATTTCTTTTTGGTCAACCTGTCCCTAACTGATATTTGTTATATCACAACCACAGTCCCTAAATCAATGGCAGTTTCACTGACAGATAACAAAATAATTACTTTTCCTGGATGTATTGCTCAGGTTTTTTTAGTTATTACTAGTGCATGTTCTGAGATCTTCTTGCTTACCATCATGGCTTATGACCGTTATATAGCTATCTGCCATCCTCTGCAATATAGTCTCATGCTAAACTGGGACATCTTCAATCAAATGACAGTTACTTCCTGGGTCAGCTCCCTGCTCTATTCATTGCTACAAACAGTCATCACTTTCCAATTAAACTTCTGTGGGCCAAACACAATTGGGCAATTTTTCTGTGATATTCCACAGTTGCAAAAGATTTCTTGCACAGATATAAAAGTTAATCAAATTTTGATTTGGATATTTGGATTAATTGTGGGTTCCTTTTGCGTGGGATTCATTTTTGCTTCTTATGGCTACATAATCTCTGCTGTGCTGAAGATTCCATCAGTTGAAGGCAGACACAAAGCCTTCTCGACTTGCAGTCCACACTTGACAGTTTTTTCTTTATTCATGTCTACAGCTTTCTTTTCATACCTGAGGCCAAAATCTCTTTCCTTTCCCATTATAGACTTGCTTTCTGCTGTTGCTTATACTGTTTTGCCTCCCATTCTGAATCCCCTCATTTATTGCCTCCGAAACAAGGACATTCAAGGAGCTGTGTGGAAAATATCATCAAAAATCAAACGAACTTTTTAGCCTGATTGAATCATCTTCAATGTGACAAATACATTATTCTATTGAGCAACCTCACATATGTCTTCCTCCGTTATTAGTGTCTAATATGTAGGACAGTCTTTCAGCTTTTTGTTTTTGGCACACTTCCTTATGCACAATTCTGTATTTGCACCTCCTCCTATGCTCTATCATAATGTACAGAAGGGTCTTACTGTTTTATACTTTTGGTTGCATATTATGAAAGGAAAGACAGTTTAAAGAGAGATATTTTTAGTATTGTTTTCCACAATCAATAACATTTCTCCATTTTTTGCTAATAAATGTTTATATCAATATAATAATTATTTGAATCATTTTGTTTCTATGTAAATCAGATCTACATTACTATGACAGCTGATTTAATTCATTTGCATTATAAATTGAAAATTTCTATTAGGCTTCTTTGGGGTGTTTCACATGTAAAAGGCCTTTCGTTTCCTTTCTTTTCCTTTCCTTTCCACAGCAAAATATTGTATTTTTCAAGCTGCATTTTCAGATATATCTGCATTTTCAGATATATCTGCATTCTCAGATGTTTCTGCATGAGAAGCAACCTGAAATTAAGGAAGAACTTCCTAACAGTGGAATTAATCAGGGGAACACCTGATGAGTAGTTCATCACTAGAGATTTTTAAGAAAAGTTACGTGCATGAAATGGTATAGAGTCTCCTGCTTGATCCAAGGGATTGCACTAGAAGAACTCCAGGGTCCAGCTCCAATCTGATTCTGACTGTGGTAAGACGGATGGCCAATAAATTGGACAGATAAATAAATTAATTAAACCATAATCCCCATATAAAAAGTGAAAGCAGAAAACAGGAAAGAATATTATTTTTTCATTATTATTGTCAAAGAATTGGGCATTAAAAGTCAGCACTCCAAATTTTGAATACTCACACACAAAAAATATGTATGCACAAGAAAACCATCAACTAAAACAAAATAAAGGTGAGGGAAAGTGCATTATATATTTTCTTGTTCATAATTCAGGCTATGACATCAGTATGGGTTTCAATATTTCCAAAAGAATGATTCTTTGAAACACAACAAACTATTCTAAATCTCTGGCTTAATTGAGAAAACTGTGAAAGGTACATCATTACTATTTTACTTGGTTCTAACACCTCTGCTCCTGAGAGACTGGTGGAACTTTTCTCAGTTAGTTTTGAAGTTTTTGCAACTTTTGCAGCACCTCAGTCATGGAATCATCATTTGAGTACTTGACAACCATTTCACACAATCGGCTGCCAAGCACCCTGCATACATATTGCAACTTTCTATACTGGTTTCCTCAATCCCAAGAAGGGATGGTAATAAATTGCTCTTAGTCATGCAAGGACAGAGTTGCAGCCCTTTTGTCTCTCCCACCCATGCAAGGACAGAGCTGCAGCCCTTTTTATATGTTATATAGAACTTTGCCTCCAAAAAGGAGGAGGAGAAGACAAGATAAAAAGCAAATATACAAGCTCTTCTGATGTTTGAAGGGATGATATTGTTGAGGTAATGTGTGGGCACTTTTTTGTAGCTTCATTGAATTAATATATGGTAAAACCTGGCTAAGATCATTTTACAGTGCTTGTTGCTTGATGGAGTCATTGGATATGAGATGGGTGGCAAATAAAGTTCATAATAAATAAAATAAAATAATAAACAATGCTTTGGCCTCATGAAATCTCATTGGAATCATAGGGAAAGAATCTGCCATAGCTTAGAGTAACACCCAAACATTTCTCCAAGAAGTCTGGAATTTGATTTGAAGAGTCAAAGAAGCGGGGACAAATTGGGTTGAAACTAGTTTGAGTCCATGATTAAAATGTGCTATTTGGACATGAATTTTAAATGAACCCATTTGTTTCAGCTCAGAAGGATAAGAAAGAAACACAACAAGGAACCAAAACCAGGATCCTTAGGAAGTTTGATTATTCAGTTTCTATTGCTTTTAAATCCATCTTTCTCTATATAAGCTATACTCTTTATTTCTACCTTTTTCCCTTTTCCTTCCTCCCAATCCCCCTTTTTTTTCAAATTGGAAGCTTGAGTCTGCACATTATTTTTAGTGAAATAAAACTGACATCCTTTCAAAATATACCATGTAAAGAAACAGATGTCACACGAATTTCCAAAATTTGTATGTAAGTGTGTTGTTGTTAGTTGCAAAGTCATGTCTGACCTATCACAACCCCATGGACAATGTTCCTCCAGGCCATCTTGTCCTCTACAATCCTCCAGAGTCCATTTAAGCTCACTCCTACTGCTTCAGTGCTTCAGTGACTCCATCCAGCCACCTCATTCTCTGTCGTCCCCTTCTTCTATTGCCCTCAATCTTTCCCAGCATTAGGCTCTTCTCCAGTGAGTCCTTCCTTTTCATTAGGTAGCCAAAGTATTGAGCTTTATCTTCAGGATCTGGCCTTCTAAAGAGCAGTCAGGGTTGATCTCCTCTAGGACTGACCGGTTTGATCACCTTGCAGTCCAAGGACTCACAGGAGTCTTCTCCAACATAGTTCAAAGGCCTCAATTCTTTGGCACTCAGCCTTTCTTATGGTCCAACTTTCACAGCCATACATTGCAACAGGGAAAACCATAGCCTTGACTATACACACTTTTGTTGGCTGGATGATGTCTCTGCTTTTTAGTATGCTGTCTAGATTTGTCATAGCTTTCCTCCCCAGGGGCAGGTGTCTTTTAATTTATTGGCTGTAGTCTCCATCTGCAGTGATCTTGGAGCCGAGGAAAGTAAAATCTGTCACTATCTCCATTTCTTCCCCATCTTTTTTACAGGAATTGAGAGGGCCAGATGCCATGATCTTAGTTTTCTTAATGTTGAGTTTCAAGCCAACTTTTGCACTCTCCTTCTTCACCTGCATAAAGGGTTATAGTTCTACAGGCACTCTGTCTATCAGATCTAATTCCTTAAATCTATTTGTCACCTCTACTGTATATTCATCAGGGATATGATTTAGTTCATACCTGAGTGGCCTAGTGTTTTTCCCTACTTTCTTCAATTTAAGCCTACATTTTGCAATGAGAAGCTCTTGATCTCAGCCACAGTCAGCTCCTGGTCTTGCTTTTACTGGCTGTATAGATATCCATCTTTGGCTGAAGAGCACATAGTCAATCTGATTTCTGTGTTGATGTCCATGTGGAGAGTCATCTCTTGGGTTGTTGGAAAAGAGTGTTTGCTATGATCATCATATTCTCTTGACAAAATTCTGCTTCATTTTGTACTCCAAGGCCAAACTTGCCTGTTATTCTGGTTATCTTTTGGCTTCCTACTTTAGCATTCCAATCCCCCATGATGATAAGGATATCATTGTTTGTGTTAATTATATAAGGTGCTGTAGGACTTCATAGAACCGGTCAATTTCACCAGTGGTTGGGGCATAGATTTGGACTACTGTGATGTTGAATGGTTTGCTTTGGATTTGAACTGAGATCATTCTGTCATTTTGGGGATTGTATCCCAGTATTGACTTTCCTACTTTTTTATTGACTATGAAGGCTACTCCATTTCTTCTGATGGATTCCTGCCCTCAGTAGTATACCTTATATTCATCTGAATTAAATTCACCCATTCCTGTCCATTTTAGTTCACTGATTCCTAAGATGTTGATGTTCAGTCTTATCATCTTATTTGACCATGTCCAGCTTGCCTTGATTCATGGATCTTACATTCCAGGTTCCTATGGAGTAAAGATTTTTATAGCATCAGACTTTTCTTTCACTATCAGATACCTCCACAGCTGAGAGTCCTTTTGGCTTTGGCCCAATCACTTCATTCTTTCTGGCACTACTAGTACTAGCCCTCTGCTCTTCCCCAGTAGCATATTGAACACCTTCTGACTTGAGGGGATCATCTTCCAGCATCATATCTTTTGGAACTGTCCATGGGGTTTTCATGGAAAAAATACTGGAGTGGGTCACCATTTACTTATCATTTTGTTAGAGCCCTCTGCTATGATCTGTCAATCTTGGGTGGCCCTGCAAGGCATAGCTCAAAGCTTCATTGAGTGATGCAAGCCTCTTCACCACAACAAGACAGTAATCCATGAAAGAATTAGGGTATATTAGCTGAACTTTAAATACCTCTCAGAAAATTAAGACACAATTATTTTGGATTTCTTTTTCATGCTTTCCACTTTCACAGGGCAGGGCTAAGTTGGCATTCTTGGTCTGACTCATGCATGCATTGATTAAGGACATCATTGATTACTCTTCTCTAAAAAACTCTAGTTTTTTGTTATCACCCCTGTGACTGTAATAAATATTACATACATATTGAAAATACGTATTTGGAAATGTTTTGAACCATAATTAAGCATCCTTGTTTTCAATGGTCTCTGAAGATTACTGGAGTTTGCCCAGAACAGTAAATGGGACTTACCTTGTGCTTGAAATTTCCTGTGTTTTTCTGCCATCAAAGTTAAAGAGTATGTGTTTATACCAGGTACCAATGAGACCCTATCAAGGTTAAAGAAGTATTTGTTGCTCAAGGTTTGGGGATTGAAAATCAGAAACCTCAGTATCACCCATGAATGACTAAAATAAATGCTTGATTAATTCTTTTTTTTACCTCTTCAATTGTTATATGAGTATGTAAAGTTCTATGTACCATGTACTTGAGATAAAGAAGTCTGCACTATAATCCAATAGCTCTTCCTCCTCCTCCTCCTCCTCCTCCTCCTCCTCCTCCTCCTCCTCCTCCTCCTCCTCCTCCTGCTGAGATGTGCAGGGGTATGGGTAATGTCAGGGAGGTGCACAAGAGTGCAATGGAGTGCATGACAGGTGACATGTGGTTTAGGAAGAGTATCTGGAGTGTGCAAGAGGCACTGTGTCAGTAAGGAAGATAGGTGAGGTACCCAGTAGCTTGGGAAGGGTATGTGGGGGTACACAAGAGATACCACACAGATCAGCCTGTGATGGGGGTGCAGCGTAATTGGGGAAGGTGATGAGGAGTATATGGGGATGTGTTATTGGAGCAACGT